ATGCTTTGTCATCTTCTGAGGGCCTTCCAAGTAAAAAAAATTACCTCTGACTTTCTTGCTTTGTTTTCTTTTGCAACTCCTTCATTTTCTCCAAAGCCCTTCCTCACTAGCTCAGTTATTCTATTCTCTATTAGCCAGAAAGTATTGTGATATGCTCTTCCACCTCAAGCTGAACCAAATGCTAGCCCTTCATGGTCCTTACATCCTTATTAACTAGTGTCCTATTTTCCTTATATGGTGCGGGAATATAACATATCAATTGCCAAATATTTTGAATCTCCATCTGAAAAGAGCCTTTGATCCCATCCCTTTCCCAACAAAATTGCATCTTAAGAAATAACCTGTGTCCAGGCGCCAGTGATTGATGCCTGTAATCCTAGCTACTCAGGAAGCTGAGATCTGAGGATTATGGTTTGAAACTGTTCCAGGCAGGAAAACCGTTAAGACTTTTACCTGCAATTAACCATCAAAAAGCCAGAAATGGAGATGTGGCTCAAGTGGTAGAGCCCTAGTCTGAACAAAAAACTGATGGACAGTGCCTAAGCCCTGAGTTCCATCCTCAGTACCAGCACAAAGCACACACACACAAAAAAAGGTTACAGTCTGTGTCCCTTCCTGTTGAGCTTTTAAACTTGTTTGGTAAATACAACAAAGTGGAAAGAATGTTGCATAACTTCAGAGAGTCAGTGTGAAATGTCTTTCATACTTCTTCATACCTTTTGGGAAGGAAAATTCACTCTGGAAAGCCTTCAGCCACCAAGTGAAAAGCCCGACTACCAGAGAATGCTATGTGGGAAGATCACCAGGGAGCTCCGCTTACTCTAGACCCCAGCTGTTTGATTCCTTCCAATGCCAGAGCTACAGATGTGAAATGGAAAAGCTTTTAAGATGGGCCCTGCACCAGCCACTGCCTGCACCTGGATGAGAAACAGTGAGGCCCAGATAATCCCAGATTTGTGAGCACCCCTTAATGATTGGTCCTATCTTCAACAGTTTCAGGTGACATTTTATCTAGCAAATGACTAAGTACTACACAGGATTTAGGGAAAGTGCTAAGTGCTCTCTATTGTCAAGTTCAGTCCTGGCTGTCCAACAGCATATGACATTGATAGACTTTATCTCATGGAGTCAATTTATCTGCAAATTTTGTGTTAATTGGACCTGAATTATGTGCCCATGTGGTTATGATGAAGACAAGCTGACATCATACATTAGCAAGTCATTTGAAAACCTAGAAAGTGGCTAAAAGTACACCATTACTGCTTTTTATTAATATTTTATATGTTTGATGAATATATTTAAAATACTGTTTTATTCTTAGCAAGACTTTTATAGAGAGAATATATCCATACTCTATTGCCAACACTGTCTCTTAAGATATAAATCTGATTATATATAATATCTATATAAACATTTTTCAGGAATAAAATGAAAAATTTGCACAAACATTTGGTCTGTTGTGTACAAACCTGTTAGACTGACAGAGTTGTTAAAATGAATCAGAGTCTTTCAATAAAAGTTGGAACTTCTGTTTCTTAATCCACTTTCCATGTTGTTCTGCATAGAGCAGTTGTACCAGGCATATTCAGGCAATCTAGTAGGAATTTCATTAAGATCTGATTTTAGAATCTATTTCTGTGCAACAATCTGCATTAAGATGTTTACCCACAAGGTGGAGGCAAAGGTTTTTATTTTATTTTATGTGTTCTGAGACTTCATGGCACAGCATATGAAAGATCTTATCTTTATACATTGAAGACCGGACACAGACACTAAAAAGAATTTACCATATAGGAATCCCCTGCCCCTGATCTATGAATGATTGAGTAGGCACTGCTGTTGTTCACTGCCGGCTACAACCTGGCAAGCGGCATATGTTATGAAATAGGAATCTTGAGGTAGTAGATATGGTGGAGGGACAATTAGGTGTTCTCTCAGCCTGATTGGGGAAAAAAGAATTCATATCACACCCAGGGAGAGTGGATAAGGAAAAGCTTGTCATTTGATTACTTATGACTACGATTTCCTTAGGGGAAGATAAAGAAGTTTCATGCATTATCTAGTTAAGATCAAATATCCAAAGTGTAGCCGGGCCGGTGGCTCACGTCTGTAATCCTAGCTACTCAGGAGGCTGAGATCTGAGGATCAGGGTTCAAAGCCAGCCAGGGCAGGAAAGTCCTTGAGACTCTTATTTCCAATAAACCACTAGAAAACCGGAAGTGGCCCCGTAGCTCCAGCGGTAGAGCGCTAGCCTTGAGCTGAAGAGCGTAGGGACAGCGCCCAAGCCCAGAGTTCAAGCCCCACAATGGACCAAAAAAAAAATGTTGATCAAAGTGTAGTGACAGATTGCAGTAATGCAGGGTTAGACATTTATCATTGCCAGAGTGTGATCAGTCACTCAGCCAACAGGTGAACCCATTGCCTGATCTCAGATTCTTTCCTAATTTGGGTGAGAAGACCAAGCTGTTAAAGAGTGACTTTTCAGGCTTTCCTACACAGCAGATGTTACTAAGACTGGTTAACTCTGAGCCTTTGAGTGCTAGTATTTTCTTTAAGGTGCACCATTGGAGTGTATTGTGCAGGCAGAGGCTGTCCACAGGTTGGGTGGGGGTGAAAGCTCCCTGCTGAGAACAGGTGTGCACACCAGAGACATAGAAAGCAATCTTCAGAGTCTTCTTGCTTATTTTTAATTATTCCCCAACAGAAACTGGGAAACCTGGACTGTTACTGAATTAAATGACATCCTAGAATGGGTTTTCCCTTACTTTTGTTATAAAATCAAAATACCCATAAAGGAATATTCCATGAAGGGATTATGTTTCTGAAGTATTTCTATTTGATAAAATAATACCATAATCCTGTGAAGATAACCCAGGAATCTGAGGGGGGGGAACCTAGAAGTTATTTTTACCCAGAAGTTATTCATTTGTTTGGTAAAACATCCATCTAGATGTTGCTGAAAATATATTTTGTAGCTGTGGTTCATATTTACCATAAATTGATGTTAGAGCACTTCAATCAGTTGCAAACAGAGAGGGGGGAACGGGAGAGAGAAAGAGAAAGGGAAAGAGGGAGGGAGAGAGAGAGGGAAAATGGAGAGGGAGATGAGAGAGAGGGAGAGAGAGGAAGAGTGGAAAAGAGAAAGAGAAAGAGAGAGAGAGCTTTTACAGAAAGAAAACTACTTAAAAGCTATAGCATAGAAATCCTGCTTGAGTCTGGGGGGCTACTCTGTGGATTTCAGACTTGTCAGCTCCACAATGGAGTGAATAAATGCCTTAAAAGAAATCTCTCTCCTGTTTGTTTACCTGGAGAGCCTTGATCTTGTGAAGGAACCTGTTCATTAGGAGAACCCTGTCATTCTTAAACACAGTAGACAGCAGAGTACATTTTTTTCCTATCATGGGAAGGATCGAGGATTTTGGATAAAAGTGATCTCTAAAGTATTACAAAAAAGTTGAAGACTTGAAATTAACCTGTTGGAACCAACTATGATTAACAGTAGATGAAAATTCACAAGCATCTCAATATTAAGTAGCACTTAAGAAGTAAGCATATGTTAGTTATTCTATCAAAAGACTTCTGCTTCTTAGAAAATTGAAAATATATGGATATGATTATGTAAGTAAAATTTAATATTAAAACTCATACTAAAACAAGAGGATATTTGGATTGATTATTCTTAGCATAAGAAAAAATAGTGAAAGATGTTCAAAGTTCAGTCAATCCAATATCCAGTTCTACCTAATCAAGCATAAAAGTACTTGCTCAAATGAACCACTTCTCAGTAGTTCAGGAATGATTTGTAAATGTCATTTCTCATAAAAAAAATACAGCAGAATTTCCCAAACTTTCACACTGCAATGATTCTGAGCAATACAAACAGAAGGAGGCTTATGATTAAATACCTTTGGAAAATGTTGAATTAGAAACAGAAAATTATGACTCTTCAAATGAGATCCGCCAAACACACATGGTTTTTTAGCCATGCCCATTAATCTTCCATGGAATGCCCGGATGGAAAGGCAAGTCTCTTTATTCTTTACAAGCTCAGTGGTTTACCTTCTCGTATTTTATCAGAAGTATTTGCTTGAAGTGTCAGGAAAGGTATTTTCAATACAGCAATTTAAAATGTTACCTATGATGCTATTTTATCATGCAGTGGATAGTTTGTTGCTTTTTGACATTGTGACATCTGAAGAACTTGTTATTCCAGGTTAATTTTCTATTTTGGAAATTTTGTGGATGGTAGGGCTGCAGCTTATACCACATATACTGCAAGGGAGTAAGCATTTTATTTCCATGGTAAACATTTGTTCCTTGTTGAGACTTAGAATTTTGAGAAGTTACAGGGCTGGTTTTAGTTAAGTTGGTTCTCATCATATTGGCCACAAAATGTTTGATCTCTATATTGATAGTTCTCATGAGGTGAATTTATATTATTTGATTCAATTAGCTCTACATATACAAGAGATTTCTTGGCTTGTATTATTTGTTTCAGAAAACTTTCTAAAAATAAGATTAGGGAATCTTCACTTTTTTGAATATCATCTATTTTTTATATATGGTAGATTGAGCTTAGTTGAAAATTTATCTCAGTAAGTTGCTCTTAAGAGTTTTTAGCAAACATGAAAGCCACAAAGACTTTCCTTTTTGCAAAATAGATAGTACTTAATTAGTGCTAGCACTCTCAGCTGAAAGCAAGAGGGTGTTTTTGTTTTGCTTTGTTTTTTGAGACGTGAGATATCCCAGGCTGTTCACAATAGAAGGCAGACTAGCTTTCCCTTAATGATGTCTATTAATCCTGAGTAGCAATCAGAATGGATGTGAACACTCATTAGGATCATAAAGTGCATGCCTAGTGCTCTGAGTCTTTCAGAATCAGTAGAGAGCTAGAAAAGAGGATAGCTTGTGCAGTTGAAGCTGCCTACCATCACATCTTTGTGCAGTCCTCAAGATCAACACCATTCTCAATTGAGTTTAGAGTTTGCATTATATTTCAATTTATTTTTAGAGGAGATCATCATGCTGACCGTTGAATGAACATGTTATAGGTGGAAGAGGTAGGGAGTATCTAAGTAATCTCACTAGAAGCTTCAGTGGTTTTGCTTAGTTTGGGCCATCAGATGTCGTTCTCTGGGAAAGTTTCAGCTCTAGGTCTGTTAGAGAAAAGGCAATTAGTGACATGTTGGAAAAGCAGCTAATGGACATCAATGATAATGCTTCTTACTAGATGCAAGTAAAATCATGCTACTTTATGGTTATGCCACAGATAAACTTGTCCCCCTTTTTTAAAAAATAAAATTATTGCTGGACATAGTTTATGCCTCTAGTTCTACCTCTTTGGAGAACTGAAATCAAGAGGATCACAGTTCAAAGCTAGCCCAGGCAACAAGTTTGTAGACACTCCCTATGGGCATAGTGATAAAGTGCCTTTCGTCCCACCTACTTTGGAGGCTGGACTCTAGAGGATTGCAGTTTCAGGTCAACCTGGGCAAAAACAAACAAAGCGAACCTATAAAACTCAAGCTCAACAGGAGGAGCTAGATGTGTTGGTTCATAACTGTTATGCCATCTATGGTGGGATGCAAAATAGGAGAATTGAGGTCTTGGTGCAGGCTGGACAAAAAGTAAAACTCTATTGCAAAATAATTGTGCCAAACAGGGCTGACGGGATGGCTCAGTGGCAAAGCACCTGATTAGCAAGTACAAGGCCCTGAGTTCAAACGCCAGTTAAAGCTGAAAAATAAACAAAATATCATCATACTTATAGCAAATGCATTTCTACTTATTTTAAAAATTGAATTCTGCTAGCCCAGTGCAAAAACATCTATTTTACTGTGTTCATAAGTTTATGCCTTCGAGTGAGGATGAGATGAAAGATTTGAATATGTTGTCCTCTTCCTTACTGTTTGTCTTGGTTTCATGTTTCTCTCACACTGTGAGCTGCCTGTGCCTGATGTGAATCTGGTCTCTAAAACATTTTTCACCCAGCTTGGTCCTACATGGTGTGGAAAATTCTGTCTCATGGTAATTCAGGCAACGCTACAATACAAGCCTGAAAAGAAAAAGTAAAAATGACTGGCTTTGTGAACCTGAGTAATTCCTTCTCTAATGGGAATAAAGCTGGATCTTGTCAAGGTGACAACTAAAGCTTATAATAACACTTTAGTTAAAAGTAAAGCACACGAAACTGTTAATTATACAAGGCACAAACTGGCCATGTTCCTAAGGATCAGATCACCAAAAAGCAAAAGGATTCAGTGTCTACAAGTTCAAATTTCTAAGCAAGACAGGCTTTGATTGAAAAAAAAATATATATGGCCAACCAAAGTTGGATTAGCAGTTTTAGGAATGGCATTATGCTTATTCGGTTATTGTAGGGAGGGAAAAAAATCATAGAAGAAATGTCTTAGAATGTGGTAGAAATGCTAGTTTATATGAGGGAAAAGTAGCAGTTAGTCTGGAATCATAAATGAAGACCTGGGGGCAATGCTACAGATAATGGATGAATCTGGGTTCAACAGAATTCCACAATTCTCCTTAGAACCCAGAAATTACAATGCACTCGTTTGTGTTTTAGAACCGGGACTCTAGTGTCATTATCCTATGGTTTAACAGTAAGGTGACTAAGCCTAGGGCCTCATGCAGGCTTCCTAGTCAAGCGACCTACCATTTGATTATGCTTCCAGCTCTCAACATCCCTTTTTTTGCTTATGGTTTTGCTAGTTTTGCCCAGTCTGGCCTCAATCTTATTATTCCTTAAATGATCTTTATGGTATTATTAGCCTCGATGTGAAGTTATTATGTGACCAGTAAATGTGGACTTAGTCCTAAACATGTCAGATGTTGACTGTGCACAAACAGCCAAGTTGTCTAGATGCTTTATATTCTCAATTGTGAATGCATTTGAATTGATTATAAGTAGGATAAATAACTTGAGTACAATCTCCTCTGTTGGCTGTGATTTTTTAAAATGCAGTATATAATGCTGGAGTCTTTGGTGTTACATGTTTAAAAATGTACTTACCAAAGATACTATACACATCAGAACTGCAGGACGTCTTTCATTTCATTATCAATCTGAAAGCAAAAGTGGCACTCTCTGTGATTTATGAAGCATTTTATTCGAAGACTATGAGATCATCCAGAAGATATGCATCTGAAACCTTGCTTAGAACAACAGTCTTATGATGAGAGTATTGCCAAAATGTGATTTTATATTGCCGTTTTATTGGCTACACACCACAGTTATTTCGCTCTACATTGTCCCCTCTCTTAAAGAGTTTCTAGTCTGTGGGGACAAAATAAATGAGAAAAAGGACAATAGAATTTAAAAAGAGCTAATTATGGAGTAAATAGAAAATGTTATGGCATAACAGAAAAAGCTTGAGTGCTGAAGGGTTCCTGGAGGTGGTGATATCTGAAGGGCTCCCCAAAACCTATGGGTGAGGACAGCAGGCTCAGTGAGCATCAGCAGAGGCTCTGAGGTCAGACCAAGTTTAAGGAATGGGACTGAAAGAGCACAAGTGGTTCAGGAGAACCTTGGAAGAATGCACAAGAAATAGAGCTAGAGGTCAGACAGGAAAGAGACTCAAGTATCCAAAATCTTCTGACATTAAAAACCATCCAATTGAAAATTGAACTTCAACTTAGAATCAAACAAAAGGACAGCCACAAAACACATTTTCCTTAAATAATAATGATTAAGTATTGTATAAATGAATTTATTTAATAAGGGTATTTAAATAAATATTTGTTACACAATTATTAATAAATATTATATAAATATACTTATTTAATATAGCACATATTTATTTATAGATACATATATTTATTTAATATAAAGGCATGTTATATAAAGTTGGATATAAAGATACTGTATCTACTTTGCCTATTTTCACAGAGATTTTATTTTTTAATCTCAGTACTAAGATGGACAGTGGATAGGCCAGAGTATGTCCCAGTTGGGAAATTGCAATCCAAAATTAGGAAATGCACATGTAGATGATAGGTAGAGTACTAAGATGTATTGAGGCATTAGAATTGATAGGATATGTGTGTATGCATATGTATGTGTGTGTATATATAAAAAGGAAAAGTTAAATATCATTAAATTTTTATTTGGAGACAATGGGTGGAATGAGGTGTTGTTGAGACATTTGGGAAACATTAAGAGGAGGTTTTAGGAGAAAGACTTTGGTCATACTTCTAATAGGACAAGAAATCATATAAAAGTCCGCATGTAGAACTGGCTGATAAGTCTGGTGATAAAAGGAGAGGTAGACACTTGCACATTAAAAACACGAGTGCAAGAACACTCAGAAAAATGTAGTATCATGGAGTTGAAGAGCAAGGACAAAATACTGGAAAGAGAAGTTTAATGAAACGGTAGAGGAGGAGGAAAAGATAAGATAAATAAGAACACGTTATAGGCCCAAAAGAGTAGTAAATGCTAACATAGATGTTATAGAAACTGTTTCAAGGATAGTTTTGAGTATTAAATGTTTTGTGCATAATTCTATTATGGACTAATTAACATTGTTAGGTTTAGCAAGAAGGAAACTAGTGGTATAAACTTGTTGATGGTATCATGGTACTATCAGAAGCTAGACTTCAAAAGATTGAGAAATTACAAAGAAGAATGAGAAATCAGAAGATAACTCTATTCTCTCAAAAATGTCACTGTGCTGGGCTGGGTGGCACAAACCTGTAAACTTAGCTATTTGAGGGACAAAGATCTGAAGGAATTTGGTTCCAGGCCATTCAAAGCAAAAGTTTGCCAGACTCTACCTTAACCAGTTCTGCACATGAAAGAAGGAGAAAGGAATTGAAGGAAGAGAGGGAGATTTTGTGAGCACAAAAAAAGCAATGAAATTAAAAAAGAAAGTATAATAGATGGAGAAAGATTCCAAGGAAGAGAGATAGATGGAGTTCAGAGTGACAAACTTCCAATCTGGTGAACTGCTGTTTGAACAAACGTAACTTCAATTTTCAGTCAATGGTAGTAGTCTTGCTATCGAAACTTAGCCTTTTTCATTATTAGCCAAATTAAGTCTGAAGACCATGATCCAGAGGGGAACAGACCAACTTAGAATAAGCTTACAATTTCCCAATATTACATAAAATCTCTTGTTCAACAGTTACAGAGGGAAATTAAATGGCATTTAACATATAGAGTTGTTTTAGGTTATTCTATAAACATAGGCATCCAAAACTATTAATATTCTGCTTCCTATATCACAAAGTCTCTATGTACTGAAAGACATAATCAACTAGCATGAATATGGTTGCTATTTTTTCCTGAAGTATGAGGTGTAGAGGGAAATTGAAAGATGTATCAGAGTTCAAATTTCATTATATTTCTGAATTGGGAGCCAAAACATTTTTAAAAGAAAAAATCACAATTATGAATGTCTCACATTTAATATGAAACTCACAACTTTAATATTAAAATATCTTTTACTCTAAAATAAACTGCTATGGTAAAGAATATTGGTGTGACCTTCAGTTTTTTTCTTGCATCATACAAAACCAAAATATTTTTATAGTTAAAATGAAAGTTATGGTATGATCTCATTTTTCTAAAAGCATTCTGTTTATCAATTCACCTGCCTATTTGCATAGATATGAATATATCTACATAGACACACATACCTATGTTCAAGATAGAATTTTCCTGAAGCAGTATTTATATTAGATGGACTCTCTACTATATTCTTCTGTTTATTAAAAGCTGTGAATAGGTTACCATCTACAGACTAAAAAAATACTGTACATAGCTATCTGTATTCACACTTTTGTTTCTTACAACATTTTAGAGATTTGGTAATGCCTCGGTTTCTTATTTTTCCCACAGCATCAACTAGTTGCACCTATTAGTTGACATGTTCATATGTGCATACAATGTGCCTTGATTGCACTCATTTCTCCATCACTTTTGCTCATTCCATTTCTATTAGTTCTTAAGTGACCATGTCATTTCTAAGGTAAGAAAGCTACAAGAGCAACATGAGATGCTTATCACATAACAGGTTTCAACAGAAAGAAAGAACGGAGTGCATTAGCTCTTCCAATATTCTGCAGTGATGAAAAGGTTACCTACCAGAGAGTCACAGTAGAGCGGAGGTGAGTTCATGGAGCAGCACTTGGAGGCGAAGTCTGAGTTTCTGTGAACTAGCGCTTCCAAATAATCAGGCATCACATCAGGATATTTTGCTCTTAGTCGCTCTGTGAGTCTGAAAGATCATTTCATATGTAAGGTGTTATAGGTGTATTTTAGAAACATAGCTAAAACAAAGTGACAGGCCCCTTCATAACTCACAGAGTAAATAAAATAAAACCAGAAATACTTGCTATTCTTAAGAAAAGTCTAACTCTGCGGATGATTTTTGGTGAGTCAATCTGAGATTGCAAAGCGAGATCGATGCCTCATTCGGCATCCTGAAAGTAAACATAGAAATCGCAGCTGAACTGAAAGTTTCTCTCTAATTTGCTTATTATTTCAACATGAATAACTTCCTTTCCCCTTCTCTTCAGTTTTAGAGTAAAAGCAACTTAAAAATATTTCCTGTAAGGGTTGGTGGCATGTCTCAATTGTTCTTCCATGAAATTTTACAACTCAAAACTGGTGGTTAAGACTGTCTCTGTAATACTCTTCTAGATCACACCATTGGTCAGATTTCTGATAACTGAGAAAGAACTATTTCAAACAAGTTTCATAAATTTTCATGTTCTTATAGTACATTCTAAGGTACTTCATGGAGGTCACTGGAAGACATGTCTTACTTTGGGGAAGTTTCTTCAGAAAATCTTATTGTGGATTACTATTTGTGCTTACTTGAGGCCTCGCTTGCCCAAGATGATTTGAAATGGATCTGAGACATTGACTAAATAAATTTAAATGGAAATTATACAACTTCTCAATGAAGGTATCCCTCCCCTCCCAAAAATACTGTGTCTTTTGTTATTATGTAGTATTAATGCCTATTTATAAAGAAATGCTTTCTCCTCTTAACTGATAAAACTTTCAACTTAAAGGGAATGACTAACACTATATCAGATAAAAGGTTTAGGTCTTGCCAGGCACTGGTGGTTCACTCCTGTAATCCCAGCTACTTGGGAGGCTGAGATCTGAGGATCGAGGTTCAAAGCCAGCTAGCTCAGGAAAGACTCTTATCTCCAATTAACCACCAGGAAACCAAAAGTGGCGCTGTGGCTCAGGTGGTAGAGTGCTTGCCTTGAGCTGAAGAGCTGAGGGACAGCACCCAGGCCCAGAATTTAACACCATGACCGACAAACAAAGAAAAAAAGTTTAGGTCTTTTTGTCAGGCAATATGTAGTGAAGCTAGATAATATTTTTCAGTAGTTTCATAGTTTCTCAATATTTATAGTAATAGTCACAGAACACTTTGATCAAAATTGTTTATAAGTTATGTGTTTGTTGCCATTTTGAATCAAGTCCTTGCTGACAAATTTCTGTACTTGCTATTTTTTGTCTAGGTTCTAATTGTACACCAAACAGATTCCCCACCCCCTCCCAGAATAGACCTCAGTGGGTTTTGATATGGACATTTAATTCTGACTACTTTTTAAACTCTTCTAATCTTACCTCCTTTTATTGTTCTTTGCTTAGCACAGCCTAAGTTTCCAATTATACCTTTAAATCATAATACTAGATACATGGTATTAATACATTTGGAGACTACAACCAAAACAAGTATCTTACTTTTTCTTGTACTCCGTAAATGTGTTTTCTGAATAATCGGCACATAGTTCATGGACCTTTCCAAGGAAAGAATTTAGTACCACTGTCAGTTGAGGGTTCTGTAAAAGAAATTACATATTGTGTTTGGAAACATTGTTGTAAGAGATTGTTAAACAAGAATTCTGAGTCCTAGTTACTCTAGGCATTTTTCTGTATAAGTCCAAATAGTAAATATTATAGACTCTGAAGGTCATTAGATGCTCTTGTTTAGAACCACTTCACTGTATACAAAAGCAATCATAAATAGTGTATAAACAATTAGGATGACTGTGTTCAAATTAAATATGAAGGCTGAATTTGAATTTCACTTAATTTTCATATATCATGAAATTTAAACTCCTTTTGGTGTTCTTTGCCCACCCCCTCCCCCCCAGTCATTGAAAGTGTATTTTCATTCTGTACTTATAGGTCACAGAAAAGCAGGCAGTGGGACAGGGTTTGCCCATGAACTGTAATTCCAATTTTCTTGGGAATTGGAATACATCAGTAATACAAGAGGTTTCACTCCTGACCTACGTGGTTGACATGGACCAGGTACCTTATCATTAAAACACGTGCTGGGGTCTTGTAAGTCACAGCACTCACTGAGGCTTTTCAGGGTTGGCTCAAGTATTTTGCTGAGGAACACTTCTGGAATATTCGTCCTTTTATTTAGCTCAAATGTGTACCTAGAATCAGAGAGAAATGGAGACTATATCCTTTAAGGTGTATGTTCATGTTTTCAAGCAGGACATACCTAGTACAATGGCAGAGTACCCGGTTTGTGGATCTTCATTTAAAAAGAGAGCCCAAATTACCTCCATTTCAATGGGATTTGGATGAGACAATATTTTGTCAAAGTACAATGCTGTAAAAACTTGCTTTCAAAAGGAATAATCTTTTCATTAAAGCACAAGTTGCTTGTTTGGAAGAGTGTAATGAATATTTATAAATTATATAAAAACCTGTGAATTTAAGTTCATATGGGACTTACCCTTGATGTGTAAAACAATTGACCCTATGCATAACATCTATTAAATATTTTAGGCAGCTTTTTGTAAAACACAAAAACAACAACAAACAGTTTGACTAATCTTTTTTTTCCTCATGTTGTATTCAATTCTTTTTTCAGTTATATGAAATGGGATGCAGGCCAACAGTCCATTCTGCAGAGCCAATAATAGTACCCAACCAACATGGAGCAGTTACTGAGATGGGCCATCTGTTCTCTTCCTCCCTTTTAAGATGTAAAGAACCAAAGTGTTTAATAGGAAAATGAGTCAAGATAGATAGCTGAAGATGGATTAAAAGATGGGAAAATTATGTTATTTTTTTAAACAGATATAAGAAGGGACAACCTAGAAGTTACAATCAGAAGCAAATGGAAAGAGCAATTCATGTGCCCTCTCACCATACTTTCGGGTGCTAAGGGAGGCTATTTTGATCTGTCCACTCCTTTGAAATGGTAAAGTCTACTAACTCTCTGTAAAGGGATAGAGACAGAAAGGTGGGAAGCAAACCTGGGGAAAAGAAGTCCTCAAACTCTATTGTCTTATGGTTTGGGTGGGCCCAGAAACATCTCCATATTTTATTATTATATGCAGCACCCATCTTGGCCATCCAAAGCCACTGTCTACTGATTGGAGGTTGCTGGATCACATGACTACATACATTCTCCCAGCTCCAAAAGAATAAAGGCAGCAGATAACAGCTGCTATTGGAGCCTTTACCTTACATTTTCTGCAAGGGAAACAGAAATGTTTCTCTCTCTCTCTCTCCCCTCTACCTCTCTTACTCTTCCTTCATTTCTCCCTAAGTAAGTAGCCTATTACACTAAGAATAAACCCTTGTTAAAATATTTAGAAGAAAACAGAAAACAAAAAAAACAAAATAAAAATTCACTATTGCTCTCCCTTTATTCTCTCTTTATGTGTGTGTCTCTTTTGTGTTCCTAGGGATTGTACTCAAAGGCCCTTGGACTCAAAGGCAATCTATCAGTTAAGCCACACCCTCAGCTCTTTTTTTTGTCAGTTGTTGGGGCTTGAACTCCGGGCCTGAGCACTGTACCTGAGCACTTTTGCTCAAGGCTAGCACTCTACTACTTTTAGCCACAGCTCCACTTCATTTTTTGAGTGGCTAATTGAAGATGAGAGTCTCATGGGTACCTTTTTGTCAGGGATGGCTTTGAACCATGATCTTCGGATCCGAGCCTTCTAAGTAGGTAGTATTATAGGCATAAGGTGCCGGCAGCTAACTCCCAGCTCTTTTTGCTATGGTAAATTTTCGGATAGTATCTTGCATGTATACTCAAGCTGGACTGGACTAACATCCACCTATTTATGCTTTTTTTCATAGCTGGGATGTCAGGTCTTTGCCAGTAACACTAGCTAATAGTTGAGATGAGGTCTTGTGATCATTTTTTATAGGCAGCTTCAAACTCTGATCCTCCTGATCGCCACCTCTAAGTAGTTAGGATTTACAGGCGTGAGCTGCTAAAGTCTAGCTAATCTCTTTTTATCTTCCAATGGCATGAATATTGCTACTTTCAAGAAAATTATTCTATCTTGGCTGTGCTTCATTTGTACCAAATATTTACTTTCTGCAAGTTTGATAAGTTTAGGCTATTGATTTGTGACATAGTATTATTACAAGTAATAAAATGAAACTAGTTAATAATAACATTTTAGTCACCATGCTATATGATATGATACTGAAAGTCCACAAAAACAAAATTGTAAAGAAAACTTTGCTTGAGTTTAAGGTGGATGTTAATGTAGCCATTTGAAAGTCACAGTACCAAAATATATAGCCATATGATTAAGTCCAAATCAGAAGCAAACATAGTGTTTAAGTTCCTGGCCAATGCACCAAGTCTGTTAGTGGAAAGTTTAGAATAGCTAAACAACCTTGGTGCTTGCATCTGGTGAGAGAATTCAGGAAAGATGCAAATATAAGTAAAGATGATAGAAAAGTTCATTAGAAAAGACATATGGCAGAGATGGAGAGCCTCTGGCATAGACATGTCATGTGGAAGGCAGTATTTTTAGCTTATGTCTGCCGTCTGGGCTGCTTGAGCCATCTTCCTCATTACAGAGCTTGGCCTAGGGTTAAACAGTGAAAATGGGAAGGCTTTCTGATTAGTGGGTCTCCTTTTCTGTTTCCTGAAAGCATGTGATGTCACATCTCATCCTTATTTCCTCATTCTTTGTAGCCCTGCTTTCTCCACATTGTTGTCTGGCAGGTTTTGCTATCAATCTACTTTTCCAGCTACAAGCAATGTATGTATACTTTTCTCCTAACTTATATACCTTCTCACAATCTGGCTGGTAGTGAGATTCCTTTGGTCAAGGTGAAAATAAAACAGAAATATATTTCATATCACCTCTACTTACCGAGCCACAGCTTTGGTGTTTTGTTGATTACACAGGTCTTGAGTTACAGGCAACTTAACAGGTAGCAGTTGGGCTGGTTGGAGAGCTGGCATGAAGTAAGTGCACACAAAAATGTCCATGGGTGTCTTTTCTTGACAACAGTCTTTAATCTTAGCACTCACTGAGGATAAGTTGTCACAGATTTTTACTGTGTATTCAGGCAGCTATAAAAAAGAAGAGTGCAATTTATTGGTGTATTTGTGTGTGGTTAGTTTCCTTATTGGAGCTTTTAAGAAAACAATAAGGCATACAAGCTCTGGCATCATGTTTATAAAATTCAATGTGAATGCTATTAGAAAATTGGAGATAGGTATGGTGATGCCTTAAGTCTAGCTATTTGGAAGGGAAAGATTGGGAGACTGGTTTAAAGCCAGCCCAGGCTAAATTTCATGATTTCAACCATGAAATTCCGGGTGCTGTAGCATTCACCTGCCATCCTAAGGGAGGATCATGGTACATTCTGGCCTAAGGATAAGCATGAGACCCTATTTGAAAAGGAATCAAAGCAAAAAAGGGCCCTCACACAGCCCAGGTGGTAGAGGGCCTGCCTACCTGCCAAGTGCAAGTTTCTGAGTTCAAACTCTAGTACTTCCAGAGCGGTTGTCCAATACTCATGAAGCTCTGGGTTCAATCCCTACCCTCCCAGCACTGGGAGAAAAAGTAAGTTGATTTAATATTTGGGAAGATAATTTGTCAATGCACACTATGTTTTTTGTATCTGAAGTATGATTTCATTTGTAAGAATTTATACTTAGAAAATACAGAAGGTGATAAAGCACAGTATTACTTAAAATTTTAAAAATGCAACCTAGGGCTGGGAAGGTGGCTCAGTGGTAGAGCACTTGCCTTGCATGCATGAGGCCCAGGGTTCGATTCCTCAGCACCACATAAGCAAAAAGAAAAAAAGCCAGAAGTGGCGCTGTGGCTCAAGTGGTAGAGCGCTAGCCTTGAGCTGAAGAGCTGAGGGACAGTGCCCAGGCCCAGAGTTCCCCTTGACCAGACCCCCCCCCCAAAAAAGCAACCTAATACTATAATAAGAAGATTAATTAAATAAAATCTGATATATTGGGGGATAGGTTTTTAATGTAAACAACAGTTATTTAAAACAGAGTCCTGTTTAGGCATTATGTATGATTATAGATAAAACATATGAATACAGTCATGTACTTTTGAAGGAGAAAGAGCAAGAAACTCAATGTATCTCTTAATAAAATGGGCAATGGGATCTTGGAAGCTGATCCTCAGCTATAGTAGTAGTTCTTCAAATTTATTTCTATATGAGAGAATCACACAAATTGGAGATCAAGGAAAAATTCAAGGTGCCTATCAAATGACAAAATGTATAATAAGTGCATCAATACACTGCAATCATATAAAGGTTGCAGGCAATAATGACATTTATCTGCACTGCTAGTAGTATTGTGCATTAGAATGTGACTGAAGAACTGAGGTTTAAATTGCATAAAAATATGCTTAATTATAATTACAATTAAATTAACTATACTGTTTGTTAACAGATACTCTACAGCACAGGTAGTGCAAAGTCTGGGAATCAAGTAATCTAATTATGGCATATTGATTGTCACTCTTTTGGACTCAAATTATTTACCATTGTTCATCTATTTTCTCTTCTGTAAATTGGATTTAAAAAATACATTTATGGCCAGGTGCTGTTGCACATGCCTGTAATCCTAGCTATTTGGAAATCTGAGATCTGAAGATCAGGATTTGAAGCCAACCTGGGCAGGAAAGTCCTTGAAACTCTTACCTCCAATTTACCCACCAAAAAATGCAGGATGTAGTCTTGAGCAAAAAAGCTCACGGACAGTACCAGGCCCTGAGTTCAAGCCCTAAGGCTGGCATAAAATGTAAGTATTTATTTACTTATGGCTGGGTATTGGTGACTGATGGCTATAATCCTAGGTACTAGGGAGGTGGAGATCTCAGGATCACTTGCTTAAGCCAGCCCAGGCAGAAAAGTCTGAGATTTATCTCAAATAACTAGCAAATAGCCAGAAGTGGAGGTATGGCTGAAATAGTGAAAAAGCCAAGTAAGAGTGTGAGGCCCTGGGTTCAAGCCATAGTATAAGCACACACACACACACACACACACACACACACACACACACAGTCTCTCTCTCTCTATTACTATTTATGAATTTTAAAGATGCATGTAAGAATCATTACAATAACACATATGCAAAATGCCTGCCAATCAGTCCACATTCCTCAGCACTCAGCAAGTCTAACCACATGGTAATAGCCTTACCTCTTTAGCCATGCAGTCTTCAGAGGTAGATTCACAGCATCTTGCAAGGATGTTAGTAGCATCTTCAGCTAGTGGCAAAACATGGTCTAGTTCAGCAGCAGGTGCTTTTTGAGCTAGTTTTATGAGGTGACTAAATAGTTCAAGATGAATTTGTTAGCTTGCATTCTTAGTTTTCTTGATTTCATCGTAAACACACTGCCTAAAGGAATTCTGTAGTTTTAACTCTGGCCACAAAAGATGCATGAAATATATCTGACCTTGTAAGCCAGAGCCACATACCCCAAATTCAACATCCTCAATGAATCATTTCTACATTTCAGTATGTAAATGAAGTTTCTCTTCTGACCAGGTCTATGTAGTTAAAGCATGCCTTTAAAATGTTGGGTCTAAAACAGTGAGGAAGAAAGCACTTTCATCTTTGTATTCATGAGATCAAATTGTTTTTGTGGCCTCTCAAAAGTCTTTTTAAAAAGATGAAATTAAAAACTAGAGGTAAAAAGAGTTTCTGTACATTGGGGCCAAGTTTCTTCTTCACTCTGTATTTTCTCTAGCTTTAACTTGGGATAATGTTTTTTTTATCTAATAACTTTTTTTAATTTATTTTATTTTATTTGTGAACATACTGTACAGAGGGGTTACAATTACATGGGCAGGATAATGCTTACATTTCTTACCAAGCATTGCAGCCTCCTCCTTTGTTCACCCTTCACATCCCTTCCCAGCTTCCTCCCTCCCCCCGCCCCAGTCCCAATCCTTCTCCCCCCCCCCAATGTTTTAAACAAGGTTCTTCTATGTTTTCCTGGCTGTGGCAGTACATTTTTCCTTTGGTATTTGGTACTTAAATTGCAAAATAAGAGTTGATAATGCAGGGGGTGTGGTTCTAATGATTGAATGCTTGTTTAGTGAGTACAAGAAGCGTTGGGTTCAAACTCCACTACCACAAAAGAGAGAAAGAAAGAAAACGTATTGAGTTGAATAAAGAACTAAAGAGCTCTTTTAAAAAGTAATGGAACAGGTATAGCTCTATACACCAATGCTAGTAAATGCAGATGCTTCCTGTGTAGAAAACTTCTTAAGTATTTATAAGACTTACACACATGACTAGGATTTGTCCTTTGATTCTCTTTTGTTCTTTCGCTGACTATAACAGGAATGCTATTAAATATACTTTCTCAGTATTATTAATCTAACAGATTTATGTTGTAGTAAGGGACAAAATTTATGATCCTCCTGAGTGCTGGGATTACAAGGTGCTCTTCCAAAGCTAGCCAGGGTTGTCTTTTGAAAGACTATGCTATATTCCATTATATAAGTATACAATGTTTTGTTTATCCATTCATCTCTCAATGCACAACAGATTCCACTTGTTAGCTATTGGGAATAATGCAGTGATGAATACAGCATTAGAAATACCTTTTGGAGAGTTGCTTTCCAGTTTTTGCCTATAAGACTTGAAGAAAAATTCCTGGGTCATTACTGTAATTCTATTTTTAAATTTTAGGGGGAATCCATAAATTTTTTAATGATTGAGATATTTTCCATTCCCACTAATAGTGCACAAATATTCTAATTTTTTCCCTGTATTCTTGTCAATATTTGCTATTTCCTGTTTTTTACAGCGTCTATCTTAATGGGTGTGGGTAATAGCTCATTGTTGTTTTGCTTTGCATGTCTCTTATGATTAGTGGCATTGAACCTCTTTCATATGTTGTTGGATATTTTCTCTGAAGAATTGTTTATTCAAGTCCTTTGTTCATTTTTAGTTCTGTTTTTGTGGTTGAGTTATAGATCTTTATGTATTCTGAAAAGTATCAAACATGATGGTTTGCAAATCTTTCTCCCATTCTATAGATTGACTTTTACTGTTGATCGAGTCTTTTGACCAGAAATTTAATATTTTGATGTAATTCCATTTGTTTATTTTTGCTTGTCTTCCTTGTTTGGTGTCAAATCTAAGGATTCTTGACAAATCCCAGCAACCTGAAGCTTCTACTCTGTGTTTTCTTCTAGGTCATTTTATAGTTTTAGATTTTTTTATTTAGTTCTTTCTCCTATTTTTGAATGAACATTTGCATATGGTACAAGGTTCTAACTTAATTCTTTCACAAATGAAATTCCATTTTCTTCACACTATTTGTTGCAGTAACTGCCTGTTCTCTGTTGTGTAGTCTTTGTAATCTTGTTGAAAATCACTTGGCCACACATACAAGAGTTCCCTTCTGCACTTCCTATTTACTCCCTATGGTTTATATTTCTGCCTTCATGCCAGTGTCACATCATACTAATGATTGTTGCTTTGCAGTATCTTCTGTAATCAGGAAGTTTTAAACCTCCAACTTGTTCTTTTGTAGATTGTGTTGGCTATTTGGAGTCCCTTGAGATCCTTGAAATTCCCTCGTTGTTTCAGGATGGCACTGTTGTTTGGATCAGGACTGCCTCCAAAGGCTCAGTGTTAAATGCTTGATGTTGGATGGTAGTATTGGAAGGTGGTGCGGCCTTTAACAGATGGGGCTCACATATCAGGGGGTATCTTTATATTCTGGGGGATGCTTTGAAGAAAGTAGTGGAGCCCTGGTACTTCCCTCTTTTTTCTTTTGCCCCTGCTTAATAAGATGAACAGTTTGTTCTCTCCCATGTTCTTACCATGATGTTATGCCATAGGCCCAGAGCAAGGGACTAACTAATGGTGGACTGAAGACTCTAAAGCTGTGGTCTCAAATAATCCTTTTCTCTTTATAAGCTGATTATCTCAGGTGTTTGTGATAGTGGCAGACATGTCTAACACCCTATTTGGGTTTTGAGAGAAATACTGTGATTCTGTGGATTTCTTTGAATAGTATGGACTTTGTAATAGTATTAAATCTTCTAAGCCACACAGAATGGCTTTCTACTTATCCTATATTATTTGATTCCTGTTACCAGTTTTTGTGCTTTTGGTTAAGTGCTCATAATTCTGACAGACTGATGTTCTTTTGTATGTGTGTATTATAATTTGAATATTTCCTATTTGGGAGACATTGAAGAAATTTCTATTTTTTTCTTGTTAGAATATAGCAGAAATATTTTGTGCCTTAATCTTTGTTCACCTCAAGCAGCCCTAATGCAAGTACAGATAACGATTAATTAAACAATAGATACAATTAGTTTTTTGTTTGTTTTTGACAATCCTAGGGCTTGCACTCTGGGCCTGGCACTGTCCCTGAGCCTCTCAGTGCTTGTTAGCTCTCTACCACTTGAGCCACAGCACCACTTCCAGCTTTTTGTTTATGTGGTGTTGAGGAATTAAACCCAGGGCTTCATGCATCCTAGGCAAGCACTCTACCCTTAAGCCCTAGATACAGTTTGATATAAAATCCCATGTTTAACTTGGCAAACACATTATCTCAATGAAAAGGAAAAACTAAAAGAAGGACTAAAGGAAATGTCAATAGAGTGTTTCAGTAGCTCTCCAGTAGACTATGGTGTGTGTTTTCATTTTTTTAATACTTTAAGGAACCCTAATGTGAGGAATAGATAGTATAGAACAAAACTGCTAAACATGATTATAACACTTAATATTTACCTGAGCCTCAATTTCTCCTTTCCATAAACAGCATATTGTGAACAGACTCGATTTGACATACTGGTAAGAAGTGATAATTGTTTAATCTGGAGTCTCTAGAAAATAAGTAATAGAATGTCATTAGATAGATGATCAAGAGACACTGGAAAAAACACACTTGAACTGTGGCTCAAGCAATAGAAAGCCCACCTTGAGCAAAGGAAACTAAGGAAGGGCTGAGAATATGGCTTAGTGGTAGAGGGCTTGCCTAGTACCACATAAACAAAAAAGAAGTTAAGGGACAGTTCCTAGACTCTGAGTTCAAGCCCCAGTAGAGATGAGTGTGTGCACGCATGCACACTTGTGCATGTACACACACATACATACACAGTGCACAAGCTTACAGAATAAAATGCAAGGAGGCATTTTAGAAACTTTTGCAAAACCTCAACTACTACCATCATTTAAAAAGAAATGTCATTACAAGAAGAGAAAAGAAGCATGTAACTGTGTAAGAAGCACAATAGAACCTACCTCTCTCAGAAAGCATACAGTTGGGTTTGCAGAGGTACAGCAGGATCCTACCATAGAGAGATAACTCTTGGTATAACTGACTAAAAGTGGCAGAGGAGCCTGTCCATAACTACTGGAATATTCATACAAAAATCTGTGGGGGGAAAACAGAATTGGTCAAAACATTGTAGGAAAGCAAAGCCAATTTTTGTAAGTATTTTGATGGATTTTGAAGGATACTTGTTATATTAATTTATAGTTTTAATGTCTAAGAATTACTAAGGATTTAGAGAAGAATAATACTAAAACTTTAAAGAAATATGTCCATATTAAATATAGATTCTTTAATCCTATGGGATCTTCTTGAAGAGAAAGACTATTTGCCCTTTTATTCACTCAGTGTCTAGCCAAGTATATCACCTATAGTAGCTGTTAAATTCCAGTGAAGGTAATTAGGGGTTTACTATTCATTATCTACCTCTGCTTACTATTCTAGATGATGACTGTACAAGTTCACTTATTTTTTAAGAGAATCATTTTAATTGTTAGAATTAAACTGTCCCTATGGGGCTTACTGAGACTCGATATGGTAACAAAAATCTCTGAAAATTTATAGGAATAGTCAAGCCAACCAATTTTTTAATGAATTTATGATCATTTTGAAGGACATTGTTTTTCTGAAGTTTAATTTTTTCATTATTATGAATTGATTTTGCCTCCATTTTTTCCATGACCTTCTAAGACTAGCATAATCAGAGTATAATCTGGCTCCTTGTGCACACTGAACAATAAGAAGGTCACAGTTGCATCTATCATGTTGATATGCTGCTTCTGAAGATGTGTAAGCATGGGAAGAAAAGTGTCTTCATTTCTATGCTTGATTGGCAAATTTTTAAAATGTGCACAAGAGTAAAATTGCTTTTACTGTAGGGAGTACACAAGGCTCCCCAACATAATGGGAGTCGCAACAGGGGCTGTAGCATATGTGAAGATAGATTGGTGAATAGGAGATCCAATTGATTCCACTGCAGATGACGGAACTAAAGCTAGTGATGGGAGCTTGGGGTAGTTGTTCTAATCTCTCAACACCCAGCACTAACAGAGAGATGGGATGGGTGAGAGTCAAATTCCCATTATTTATTATTTGTACACATCTGAGTTGCTACCAAGGTCTTTGCATACAGTATGGGATTCGATTAGATTCGTGTCAGATGTTTTTAATAGCCACAGGTTCTGCTGATAATGAAAAGAGCTTACTGGTCAGCAAATCCCTTTGGATCCTTCCTGAACGCCTCACAGATTTCCTCATTGGTTGGCTCCACATAGGTGGGGAATTCTTGTGGCTGGTGATGGAGGGCGGCCATGCAGAGCTTCCGCTCCAGGCCCTCTTTGGAGCAGCACTCCGAAGTTCCCGGGTGCACTGGAAAAGGAGAGTCAGTTTCACAGGACTTCACAGACAGCTCTGAGGTCTGGAATAAGAGAAGGAGAATAAAGCGGGGAGGGGAGATGGCATAAATTTCTAGGCATTAATTTCTCCATTCAGTATACTATCTTAGCGCATAATGCAAAGTCTCAACCAGTACTCGTGTCCATGTGAAGGCTCTGTGGTGTGATTTTTGAACAAGAAAAGTTGTATGGTTATAGGCAAGTATAGGTGATGATTTACATCAATAAACAACTCTTCTAAAAGAAGATCAAAACACAGAATTTCTACATAGCCCCTGTTTCTGATTGAAATCACTAAATTGTTAAACCTTAGCTGGTATATCTCCATGGGGATTTTAGCATCTCCAAAGATGAGTCACTGGACAAAGTGCTGCAGGCTCTTACAATACAATCTTCCCTTGCTTTCTGCTACAGTTAGTCATGAGGTATGAGGAGCTTCCTGTCCCTCCTGTCTTCCCTTCATAGATGAGCAGGTTCTTGACACGCTTTAACCTTCTACCTCGGTTTGCATCTAACTGAGCAATTCCAGAATATGCTTTTGCACAGGAATTATTTATAGGGTATGAGAAGAACAGAGAATGCATGTATTATACAACTAAGCAATTCTGATCCACAAGGTTAAAAATAAGGTCGGAAAAATCTTTTTTTTCTTCCGAAGATTTATCCTCAGGTACTGCATAAATTGAAAACCAATATGGATTATAGCTTCAACACTGATACTCCAATACAGGTGAGTGCAGGAAGTACCGGCATAGGAATTAAATTTCAGCAACGGGATATTATTTTTAGAATACATTGATCCTTGAGATACAACTGTAGAAAAGAAATAGATATCCTATAAAAAAAAGATGAGAAATAGTCATCATGGAAAAAACTACTTAGTATGTGTGAAAAAATAAGTGATATCCTTATAGTCATCTTTTTGGGGTAATGCATATAAAAACCTTTCCTATCGCTGAAGAGAATCAGTGTGAAGAATGAAGAATGTCAACCAACTTTTCATTTCCTTTCACACCTACCTTACATTAGGCTTTCAGAACTTAAAATTTTAACCTTAATTTTTTTACACCTTTTCCATCAATCGCTGTTTGCCTTTTCATTTATTTCCCTGGCAGTTTTTCAGTTTTTCTTTTTTAAAAAAATGATGAAATAAAAGTAAAGGGTTAAAAGTTTTGATAAATTTTTTAAAAAAATCAAAAATTGGTAATAAACACGAGAAAGGAAGGTGTCATGCAAAAAATGCCAATTCTCTTTCTTTAGCTCTAGAATTTTACACATAGATTGCATATCTGATCGAGATAGACATCAGGAAATAGAAATGGAAAATAGACATTAAATACCAATGTGTTTTGACCACATGAAATGACAGGTGTTTATAAACTTGGTGGTGGAATAAAATGATTATAAATATCTTGGAAAGTTAATAAGGGTCAAATAAAGAAATTAATGGGTAAGCATATTCATTGTCTATAAGCTGTGCATATTACACTTTTGGAGCACTGGATCTGTGAGCTATGAGGCTTGAGAAGGCAGACTGATTTGCCTTTAGTAAAATACACTTATCATTTGTGTTGGGTCAGCTGCATTATTGAATTATTGAATCTATCCAGCTTTCACCTCTACAGTTATTTCCTGTACATAGCACCCTGCCATTTCAGAACCTCAAATTCTCTATATATGTAAACTGTAGAAGAGAAAAGCCAGAACCTCATAAATGTATATAGGGAAAGTTTTGAACACTCCAAACAATTTAAGGCCAATACTAAACTATCCTGGAGCTGGCAGTACCAGTCCTAACCTAGTGATAAAGGTACAGGCAGGCTTTTAAATGAAGAAGCATGCTTTAAAGTTAAGAAATCCATGAGTCGATATATGTGTAAGGTTCCTATTTACAGTGACGATAAAAATTATATGGATTTTAGAGTCAAATCTCAATTTAAATCCTACACCCTCTTCTTACTTTGCCAAGCATTTTTAGTCAGTAAGTGAACTTTCATCCAGTTTTCTTCTTTGAAACTTGTAAAAATCATGAATTAAATGGGCACACTTCATTGAAATAAACCTGAGATCCAAACATAGGTAGAGAGGGTGCCTAAAGTTTCCTAGAAAGACCTTCTTCTCTGAGCCACCGTAGAGATGGCAGCCACGGGCACTTACCCTGGTGTCATAGCAATCAGGGTCAGCTCCTTTTGCACAACATTCTTCAGTCAAGGAGACAACATCCTTCACAAGCTGGCTGACCTGTTCAAATGTGCCTCTTGAAAATTTTCTGCTGTATAAGACGAGAGCTCTGGGGGGAGGATGCAAGTCAGTGTGTTACTTAGAATCGCATTTGTTTTTCAGGTTTTGACATCTATTAAAATTACACTTTAAAATGGAATGTTTCACAAGGATATGTTGTCATTGATTTTTGTATATGTGTGAATGATCACAAAATCTTAGAATAAGGTACAGAGGGCATTCAAGTTGTCAGATTAGTTTGCAAACAAATAAAAACACATATTAAAAAACAGATGTCCACTTGAGGGGGTGGTAAGGTTGGGAGAACAGAGGAAGGTAGTACTTTGATCAAGATGCATTGTATTCATAAATTGACACATTGAGTTGGAACCCTTCTATACAACTGCTTAAAGATAGTTTTATATTTTGCTAAAAATTTTTAAAAATAAATTATAGAATAAATGGTAAAAAATGGAATGTTTCCAATATACCCCTTAAATACATCTTTAAAATATATTCCTTTTGAAAAAAACTTTTGACTGACCTGAAAAAAATATCACATTAAAATGAATTTTTTTGTTGTTGTTGGGGGCAAATTTACTTGTAAACAGTAGAAATTGGTTTGGAGGTAACATCAAACCAGATTGAGTTCTACTTTGAACCTTCCCAGAAGACTCTGTTCCTTTGTTTGCCATTGTACTAGAATATACCATTGTATTTCACACTTATTGCAAAATACTGTACATATTCACTCTAAACTCATCTCTAAAGTTTCTAGTGATTAATTCTATGGTTACTGCACTAACGGGAAATTCTGACTGATATTTGCCTGACTCTATGCCTCTGATGCTTATCTTCTTCATTGTATTCAGCCTTCTATGCTGAATGGAAATGAACTTGCCTTGGTTTTGTTCAAGGTCAACAAATCAAGGGCACTGAACAAGTAAATTCTGCACACTTACAAAGATCTGAAGTCCTCTTTTCCAAGCATGGCAAGCTCTTTGCAGACTTTATCCTTTTCATAATCTCGACCTAGAAACCAAAAATAGGAAAGTGTATTTTTTTCCCTTTTAATATATATGTATAATGTAATCATTCATCTGATCTGTAGTAGAAAAGGCATTTTCTCAATATCTATATGTACTATATTTGGGTAATGTCTTTCTCTCTGTAGGCTATACTTTAAAAAATATAATTTTATTGTTATTATTAAAGTGTTGTACGAGGGGTTACCATTCTATAAGTCAGGCAATGAGTATAACTCTTCTTTTTTTATAATGTCACCCCATCCTTCGCTTTCCCCCAGTTTCCCCCCTCCCATCCCTGCCTGCAAGTTGAATAGTTCGTTTTTTACATAGTGTATATTGAATATCTTGATTGTTTTGGTTCACCCTTCTTCCCTCCATTTTGGTGCCCCTCTTTTGCCCCTGCCCTAAAAGACAGAAGAATCTGAAAAGCAAAAGCAATTAACAACACCAACAATAACTAAAAAATTACAAATTAATTTAATTAGACAATAGGAAAAACAAGAGAAAGTGAACTGATACTGAAAGTAGGTCAACGAATATGTGTCAGCTAGTGAATAAGAATGTGTTTATATGAACATCATCCTTTTAGGTTCTCCATGCTTCTCCTTCTCCACCTCTCTTCTCCTACTTCCTCTTTCCTCTCTTTTTTCTCTTCTCCCTTCCCTCTTTCCCTCTTGTTCTTCTTTCTCTCTTTTCTTTCTTATTCTCCCTTTTCTCTTTTTTCTCCTTTCCTTCCTCCTCTCCCTTCTTTCTCCCTTTCTGTTGATCTATCTTTTGTTTCTCTCATTTCTCTCTTATTCTCTTTATTTTGTCTCCCTTTCTTCATCTTTCCCCTTCTCTCCTTCTTTTCCTTTCCTCTTCCTCTCTCTTCTTTCTCTTCCTCCTTTTCATCGTCTCAGTTTAACCTAAGCTTCAACCGGCAAAATAACAACGACAAAAAGTGGAAAAGGTTTTCCATTACAAAATAAGGTCAGCTTCACTAACGCAATACTTGAGAGGTGTATGAGTGAGGGGTGCCACCTTAGGCCCCATAAGGGAAGGCCAGCTATTCAGTTGAAGAAAAGATGGAAATTAGACAAGTGGGCCTTTTTTTCATTTTCTTTTTTATACTTTTTTATTACAAAAATAGTATACAGAGGGGTTACAGTTGCATGAGTAAGGTAATTAGTACATTTCTTATGAGCATTGTTACCTCTGCCTTTGTTTTTCCCCTACCATCCCTTCCCTCTCCACCACCCCAACTCCTCCCCTCCACAAGTTGTAAAGCTCGTTTTCAACATAGTGTCTTGTACATCTCATTGTTAAAATGGGTCAACCTGCATCCCTATTTAAGCATTTTTTTCCCTTCCCCTCCCCAAATTAGAACAATGTATATACAAGATGCAGGGCACCAGAATCAAATATCATGAAAACGGGTTATAACATAGAGGGAGGAACATACCAAAGAAACAACAACAAAAAATCACATAGTACATTATAAGTACATTAAAAACAATAGCAAGAACTTGTGTCCCTGTCTTGGGGTTCATTTCATTTAACATCATCTTATATGGTGATATGTACATAGCTTTTGATCTTTTCTGCTTGTCCTAGATATATATTAGTTATTGCACATAAGGGAAACCATGGGACCTATGTTTCTTTGGGCCTGCTTACTTCACTTAATACAATGTTTTTCCAAGTCTTTCCATTTCCTAACAAATGAGGTGACGTCATTCTTTCAGACAAGGGTTTTTTTTTTTTTTAAAGAAAGTTGTTAGTATGGCAAATTGCTAGTATAGTAAACATGTTAAGTGGAAAGCACTTCCCCTCACAGCTAGTAAGGACTTAAGCCTTTCTTTTAAAAAGAAACCACATAATGACCTAGATAGGTAGTACCTGGATCTTGGGGTACAATATTAACAGGTGTCTGATTCAGATTGGAGATATTGAAAGAGGTAAGCAGCCTGGAGAACAAAGAAGAGGTCCAAGATGGAAAGTAGTGGTGTGGCCTATAGATCTGATGGAGAGCAAGCAGCAAAGGTTATTTGGAGCGTATCCAAGAATGAAATACTTCTGTGTAGAGGGAGATAATCTAGAAATCAGAGTCCTCAAGGGAGTGCTAAGATGCCAGATGAGTATGTGAATATTCTGCGAATGATAGTAAGAATCAGCTAAGAGAACATACCAGCTTTGCACATCTTTATAATCAAAAGAATGATAGTTGCTTGCTGTACTGCTCATGGTATTCCTTTTCACTAACTGATATCTCTCCTGCTAGCTTCTCCCTCCTTGTTAGCCTTTGACATTCTAGAAACATCTCAGAGAATGAGAAGGTGAAAAATAAGGAGTAGGTAGAGAAAAATAGAGAAATGTCCAATTCCATCTTTCCTACCACATGTTTCAAGTACTCCTGTATGGAAAGAATAGCTTTACCTTTCAATGAATGGATGGATTGTTGAGTATTAAAGACAATCAGACATATCCTCATGACTTAAACAAAGCTGTCGTTTCAGGGTTAAAAAGAACTTAGGACTTTTTTAAAGGTATTCAAGGATGAACAGAAAAATTGTATGAGCTATTCTTTAGTCCATTCAAGCAGCAGGGAATTGCTATTCTCCCAAAATAGCTGACACCCATTCGTTCAACATGTCTACTACCTGTGTCACTGGCTGGGCACATGGAAGTCAATCAGTGTACTTCTCTCATTCACCATGTATTTAAGTCCAGGAAATGACCTGCCAACTCCTTTTGATAAATGGTTAAAAATTTGAAGAGTGACCCAGTTTCTTTTCTAAGTGGCTTCATCTTTTGGTGATTGACCTTCATGTCTTCCAATATTGGGAAAGTAATCTCAAAGGTTATGACAGTAACTACTCTCACGTGGTTTTATTCCCAAGATATTGTCTCCTCTTTAACATATACAGTTCTGGGAAGATTGAATATGCCAGGATGGGAAAAAAACTCACATTCAGTATTCAGCACCATTACCCCGAAAACTAGGTCAGGGAAAGAAGATAGATAACTTTCAGGTCCAGTTCACTTTCTAAAATTTATTGATTAGTTTCCTAGCTGGATATTGTAACAAGTTTAAAAGGTCAGTAAGACAGAAAGTTTTCATTAATCATTGATGGTATTAGATGGTACTGAAGATTAGAATGCTCCTCATTTACTAAAGAGCTGGACTTTAGAATAGGAAAGGTCAAAATTAAAATATTAGGTCATAATAAAATTCTTACCAAAAGACAATCTCTAATCAATATCTAATCATTTTTCTCATCTGACTAAAAACAGCAAATAAATAATGAATTTAATTTGTATTTTGATTATTGCAAATTCCAATGAGTCTTATTTAATAAACATTTTGTACCAGATGAGTTTACTGTGATTCATACAGTTACATTTATGTCCCAAATGAATTGGAAATGACATGCTCTATTTTGCAATGTACCATTTACTTACAAAGAGCTTGACTTGACTTCAGTCAGAGCCAGTAAATATTGGCATAATTTTAGTGAGTCTTACAAAATCATTGTCACATTAAATGACATCTTCTTACTAAATGTTTAAGACTTTCTTTAAAATTTTGATTTTTTTGCAATATCATGTTTTTTTGCAATATCAAGTTTTTAGTCTACGTTGTGAAACACATTCTGGCAAATCACGTTCAATTCTGGACTTCTAGAAACAAAGTTGAGTTAAATTTTAGGAAATCGTTATTGCTTCATGCAACATACATTTCCTGACAGAGCTGACAACATTTATTCATAAGTGCAACAAACATTTTTTAAGGACTTACACTGTACCAGGCCTTGGGTTCACTATTGAATTTGCAGACACAATGGAGGCCAATGTAGACATAAACCTACCCTCATGCAACTTTCCTTCTGAGGGAAAGAATGAAAGAGATAAGTACAGTTTTAAAAGTATTTTGGATTCTGTCACTGTTGTTATAACCTAATTGGCCCCTGGGTCCCCTGTTTATATACTAGGAACAATGACCAGATCCTAAGTATCACTGACTTGAACTTATGCTTCTATAGGATACTAGAGGCTGTCTCAAGTTGCTATTTTCCTACAGTGTTCTGGAAAATCACAAGATTTTGAAACTCTTGGATATTTATATTTGGGGGATTTCCCTTGCTTTGGCATTTGTATTTCCATTTTCAGTGACAGTCTCATCTGTTTCAGAAAAAGTTATATATATATATATATGTGTGTGTGTGTGTGTGTGTGTGTGTGTGTGAGTGTGTGTCTGTATATTTGTATTGCCTTTTAAGGATGTGGTATGTAATACTTTTTCAAAACAGCCCAGATATTGGTAAATGCAGAATAGTAATTTTACTTGGGGCATTAATTAGGAAGCTGTCTTGCTTATGGGAGATGATAGTTAACTTTTTAAACACTCCAAAAATAGTTATGAAAGTTCTATATAACCTAAAGATAAATCACAAAATTGAATGGGAAGGATATATTATATGTATGGTATTATTTCTATTTCTACCATCATATGTGATTTTTGTCAAGCAGAGCCTCTGAACCATTTAAATGCATTTTATATTTTATTTTGTTTTGTTTTGAAACGAGGTCTCTATATGTAGCCCATGCAATCCTCAAACTTCCTGTTCTTACTCAATTGTCCAGATGCTGGTATTACAGGGTATGTACTACCATGCTTTGAGCTATTTAAATTCCTTGTAATGCTAGTGGATTGCTATAAATCACATTAGTGTATATAGGCCATATTCTAGGCTGACTTCAAACTATGATTCACTAATACTTCCCAAGTAGCTGGGATTGCAGGCATGAAATACTATGCTTCTCTCTTATTTATTTATTGTGAAAATACCATACAGAGGGGTTACAATTACATGGGCAAGGTAATGAGTACATTTCTTATCAAGCATTGTAGCCTCCTCCTTTGTTTCCCCTTCCCATCTTCTCCCATCCCCCTCCTATCCCTCCCTTTCCCCTCCCTCCCCCGCCCTCGTGCCAAAGTTTTAAAGTTCGTTTTTCGACATGATGTCTTGTACATCTCATTGTTTCAATGAGTCCACCTGTATCCCTATTTAAACAATTTGTTTTTTCCCTTCCCCTCCACAAATTATACCAACATCAAATACAGTAAAACCAGGCATTATACTGTGGGGGAGGGACATACAAAGCAACAATCACCTTATAACTATGTTAGAGACAATAGCAAGAAAGAAAACCATTTGAGTCCTTATCTTGGGGTTCATTTCGCCTAGTCAACTTATATGACCTTTTCTGCTTGTCTCAGACATATACTAGTAATTGCAAATAAGGGAAACCATAGGACCTATGTTTCTTTGGGCCTGGCTTACTTCACTTAATATAACATTGAGATATACCACCTCACCCCAGTTAGAATGGCTATAATTAAGAACTCTAATAACAACAGATGCTGGAGGGGATGTGGACAGAAGGGAACCTTACTGCATTGTTGGTGGGAGTGTAAACTTGTTCAACCACTTTGGAAGGTAGTATGGAGGTTCCTCAAAAGACTCCACATAGAGCTCCCCTATGACCCAGCAATCCCACTTTTGGGCATTTACCCAAATGATCACAAACAAGACCATACTAAAGCTACCAACACAACTCTGTTTATTGCAGCATATTTACTATAGCTAAGATATGGAACCAACCCAGATGCCCCTCAGTAGATGAATGGATCAAGAAAATGTGGTATATATACACAAAGGAATTCTATGCCTCCATCAGAAAGGAGGACATTGCCCCATTTGTTAGGAAATGGAAAGACTTGGAGCTTCTCTTTTTAAGTAAAGAGTACCAATTCCATTACAGGGGCCCTATTCTCATGGCTTTATCCAAACCTAATCCCCTTTCAAGGCCCCACTTCCAACAAATACCACCACATACTTGTGCAGATACGGCTTCAGCATGTTGGCACTGGAGAGGACAGAAATATCGTCCACACACATGGTCAATATTCAATTGTACCAGGCAATTACTTTTACTGATAAAACTTTGACTAGTCAGATGCCAGTGTCTCATGTCTATAATCTTAGCCACTCAGAAGGCTAATATCTGGAAGTCTGCAGTTTGAAGCCAGCCTAGGTAGAAAAATTTCTGAGACTCCGTCTCCACAAAAACCTTAGAGCACTAGCTGAGTAAGCTCAAGATTCTGTTCTCAAACCTCAGTACCGCCATCGTCGCCCTGCTCATGTCTCCCTGGATCAGGCCAATGGAATGGTAGCCTAATGATGAAAGGTCATGCCTTGTCTCCTTTCTTTTGGGATGTCTCAGCTCCTCAGGACCCTGGAACAGAGTCTTAGGTTTTCACTGCTGCTGTAAGAAATTACCACAAAAGGCAGAGGCTTTGCAATATGTTACCAGAGAGTTCTATTATCTATAGGTTCCCATGGGCTAAATATTCAGGTGTCAGAAGGACTGTGTTCTTTCAGAGGTTCTGGAGAAGGATCTTGTGATAGATCGTGGATCGACATTGCGTTACTCCAGGCCTCCTTTCTCGATCTTCACAGTCAACCATTTTACATCTCTCTTGCTGTTTTTCTCTTAGACATACCTCTGATTTTCTCCCTTTCCATTCCACCTTTTAAAGACTCTTGTGATTGCATTTGTCTCATACAGATAATATGGCACGACTTAAAAAAATAAGTCAGCCAATTAGCAACTTTAATTTCATCTGTAACTTTAATTTGTCTTCATGTTGTGACCTGTTCACAGCTTCAGGAATTAGGATCTAGACAGCTTTGTGCTGGGTGTAGGGGGTAAAAAGAAGGTCCATTTTTTTAACCTACCAGTTAATGTGTATGCCGATGACATAGACATGATCAGGTGATTGCAAACAGAGGCCACCTCTGAGGTTGCTTTGACTCAGACAGCTTGATCCCTTGATCCCTAGATCACCTTTTGTCCTGCTATTTTGTTCATCTCACAAGTGGTTAATTAACTAGTTTTGGACTGCACCTCTTATATTGTCTTATTCATATGAATTGACTGGGGAGAGGTAAGAGGTAGAGGATTGGTTAGGAAGCCAATGCAATCACCAGGAGAAAGGGGAATAGGTTTAACAAGAACAGAGTGTGAAAGTTAAATAGGATGTATGAGAGGGATCATCCACAGCCTTGAGCACTAGATGTGTGCAAGAAGTAGAGGAGCCACTCTGGAAGGTTGATTTATTACAAGCCCAAACTTTATAAAGTATAGAACTGGATGTGGAAAATAAAATAATATTCAGGGAAACACTAAAGGAGTGAGTGAATGATTCAGATGTGATAGTGCCACATTAACAAATAAAGAAGGTGGACTTGGAGTGTTTCATGGAATAATGAAGTAGCATCTGGACCAGTTATAGATGAATACATCTATAAGATAATGAAAATATTTGCTAAAATAGATTCCTATAAATCAAGAGACAATGACCCAGGCGTGAATCTGATCGAGTTGTTACTAAAAACAGAGTATTTATTAAAATTTTTCCCCTTTTAGCAGGGTGCTGGTGGCTCACGCCTGTAATCCTAGCTACTCAGGAGGCTGAGATCTGAGGATCATTAAAGACAGCCTGGGCAGGAAAGTCCATGAAACTATCATCTCCAATAAACCACCAGAAAACTGGAAGTGGTGCTGTAGCTCAAGTGGTAGAATGCTAGCCTTGAGCTGAAGAGTTGAGGGACAGCACACAGGCCCAGAGTTCGAGCCCCATTACTGACAAAAAAAATCCCCTTTTTAATTAAAGCATTTAATTTTCAACATATCTACTGTTATTAACTATAATACTGTGAGAAAAGTAGCTTTTTATAACAGAAGTTTACTTCCTTTCTGTTAATCTTGAGAGAATGGTTTTTCTGAAGGCTTTCTACTTTGGCCAGGTGGCTTGGCCCTTGTTAATTACATTTTAGTTACATACATCCTTTTCTTGCTGCACTTTAATTAAGACATCTTGTTAGGTGTTCCTTACATCTTGTGAATTAAGCCACATCCTTTTGCAGATTACGAACCTGCTGGGTTAGGGATAAAAAGGGAGTAGTCTGACTGTTCTGTCTGCTTGCTTACAAGATTTTTGGTTGATGGCACACCCTTTTGCCTTATCAAATTCATTTCAAATTGGTGTCCTTATTCCTACATGACACTCCAGCATCCCAAGTTATTTCTAACAATATCAAACTATTTTAGATCTAGAGTTTCCAAAGGATAGTTCCATAGGTTCAGGCATTTTAGGAATGAGTCAATGTGTATGGGAAATATTGAATTAAATCAGCTTTCCTGTATGACTTATAAGAACCTTCAAGATAGCAAAAGCATTGATTGTGAATCAAAGAAGGACCACTGAATGACTAATGTCCTGTGTATGTTTGGCAGGGGAAACATTTTTCAAGATGAGTCTGGCAAAATGCACTTGGAACTGTTGCTCTAGGAAAAGAGATGGGTTCATCCACTGTCTAGAAACACAACATATATGCAATGCAAAGCAGGCTGTCACTCTTCCCAGCTACTATGAACCCAGGAGACTGCTGAGCTCCTGTACTCTTGCCCTGTAACTTCCTGCAACATACTCAGCTTCTAGGCCATTGGGCCACGCTCAATTCTTGTAGAATGGGGATTGCTGCATGAAACTTCGAGTCACAAATGTTGACTTGTTTATTGCTTGTAAATCTACTTGCCATGTCTCAGGATATCATCAGACCTAAGGAATCTGGGTAGTAAGACTAAAGATTTGAACTTTAAGGTTGCTAAATTGGAGTTTTTGGTATGTTTGATCTGGGATTAGAAAAGCTGAAAGAATGAAAATAGAGATTGCCTAATGTCTTGTATATTTCCAGAGGATACTTATAACTGCGGTTGAGCTAGTGTACACTTAATGAGTCAACTGTGCAAGATGACAACACATATCTTAGGAATCATATCCACATATATTTCCAGGACCTGTTCATTATAAGTTCTTTGCATTTGAATATCCTTATCTGGACCTCAGCTTGAGAAGGATTTTTCAAGTTCAAATCTGCCTTGGCAAAATCTTTAGTAGATGTGGCCTATTAACTTATATACTTAAGGATCTGTAGGTTAATTAGGCACAATTGAAATTTGAAGGACAACACTAACACGAAAAGAAGTGAATGGAAAAGTAAGGTAACATTTAGAGTAAGGTTACTCACATCCTAGTTAATAAGTGATAATTCTTGTGAACACAAATTTTATTTCACTGGCCATTGAAAACTCAGAGGATAGGCACTATTCTTTTCATAGGAACAATGTATAGAATAATACTAACACTGGAAAATAAAGTGTTAAAAAATCAGCCAGCAAAGCACATTGAAATTAACACAGAAAGTTTCAAGCTTCAGAATTCATAAAATTGTATATGTACATCACATAATCTAAGTTTGCATCATTTACAAAAGCTATAAAATACTGCCCAAAGATAGAGACTCAATTTACAGAGCAATTTCACAAACAAAAGATAGCTTAATCATCTTATTTATGATTGTGTTTCTTCAATGTAGAAAATTCCAATTTTATATCAGTAGTGGATGGCATTAAAACATCTAATGCATCTTCAAATATTGCACATTCTAGGAGTCCTTGAGGAAGAGCACAGAACTCTCTCTGCCAAGTTCATACATTATTGATATGATACATATTACTTTCAATAGGGAGAAACATTTGGAAAAAACGCTTAGCGGTGGATCCCAACCTCCAGTTTCATTTTCTCTCAGCAGTTAAGAAATTTCGAATTCCAAACCATTCTCTTTACATCTTATCAGAAAAAGGAAGGAGGGAAGGAGGGACAAATGTTGAATTGTATAGTCTACTTTCTTGCATGAAGGGACACTCCAAAACTATATGGAATCAGAAGAACTCTGATGAATTCTTTTTCTTTCCTTCTGTCCCCAAATATATTCACCAGTTCTTTGTTATCTCTTGTATAAATTTTAAGCGGTGAGAGAAAATGAAACTAGGAAGAGTTATGATAAATGGCCCTATTGATATCTTACCTCTCTCTAGTGCATTCCCAAAAGCTACAGCAAGCAGGAGAACCAAGACTGTCTTCATTTTTACTAGGATCCTGCAGTACCTGCTGTCTCCTGCGGCTCACCATGTAAAAGGCAGAAGCCCAAAGTTACCTGTTCTTTTTTTTTACTAAGCCTAATAGACTATGAACTAATCAATTATTAATGTGTACATAGAAGCAAGGTGCAGTCAGGAATCCTTGGCTCAACAAAGATAAAATAATATCATCATCAAGACAAATAGATACCTTGGGAATAATAGAGTGAAAAATCATGGAGATTTTAATCATTAACTTTGTCAAACTGCAAATGAGGCAAAGTAGGGAGACTGTTTTTCTACTGTTCTTTTCAGCTAAACCAATCTGATATTTTAGCAAGGGACACAACCCCATCTCTATAGGGTCTTGTTTCTTTTCTTTTCTTTTTTTGAACATTTCTTACCTATCTTAAGTATTATATAAAAGTACTCTCCTTTTCTTCCTTTCCTCCCTCTCTTGTTTCCCCCTTCCTTCCTTCCTTCCTTCCTTCCTTCCTTCCTTCCTTCCTTCCTTCCTTCCTTCCTTCCTTCCTTCTTTCCTTCCTTCTTCTCTTTTTCTCTTTCTGTTTTTGTCAGCTACAAATAAATATTACCTTACATGATCACAGACAGGATGTTTTAAGTAGTATAGGGGAAAAAATCTTTAATTCCAATGCTATAAGGCAATTTTGAGAGGTGACACAGTACTTTTTACATGCTGTATTCTTCTTTTGAGACACCTGGATACATATTAAGAATAGCCCTTGGAGTTGGGAAAATCATAACTAGTACGATAATGACTTGTCTCCATTATAAAAAGTTCATGGAAAATTTTGGGATCCTTACAGATATTTTAAGTTTCTTCTACTATTCCACAGCTGATGCTATTTTATAGTAATAAACTTAAAAACTCACAGAAGCCGTTGAATCTAAAATATCTTCATTTTATAGGAAGGAGAGCTGAGTCCTAGGTAAATTCTGTGACTTGTCCAGAGGGGCCCAGATAGAGCTCACTAGGACTGGATCCTGGCTTTTGCACTAGCCCTCTTTCTGAGCACTGATCAGGGAAAGGGTGGTATATACAGGTCCAAGGATCAAATTTTTCCCCAGCTCCAATTGTGGTGCAACCTTGGGAAGTGTATTCATCTCTCTAAGCCTCTTTTCCTCCACGTAATGCATTGACAATGCTTAGTGTCTGTCAAGAGATTGCTGTGGGGCTAAGAGAACCCATTTGTGGAGCACACCATATCTGTAACACATGGTAACTTGCATGAGTGCTGCTGTTTTCCTCTTCTAGCTAGTGCCTCTTCCATCTTTGGTGGAAGATTTTAAGCCCTACCTTGTTCAGTGGTCACCCTGAGAGAGGACTTAGATTTAATGTATATTAATTGAGTCATTCAAGATGAATGATATGAACAGAGTCAACCAAGATACAAAGAAACCACACCAACCTCTTTTTAGTGGATCCTCCAACTATATAGAAAATTTGTTAATGAAATAGGTTCAGAAAATAGAATGCAGCTAACTGGAAAAGGTAAGAATTCAAGAACTATCAGAAATATGTCTGTAAAATCATTGAAAATCTGTATGACAAGGGAGAAAAAATTAAAAGAGAAAACAAGGAGAGTATCTAGTTAGGTAAACAGAATGTAGACATTTTTGCTATATTCCATTCAAGGCTCAACTTACTAAGATAAATCTTTAAAAGTTCTCTTTCCATTAAAAAAAAGTTCTCTTTCCCTCTGGGTCAAGATAAAAGACAAATCTTTAAAAGTTCTCTTTCCCTCTGGGTCAAGATAACATTACATGTTTATATATACATACACTTACAGAGAGGCATTTTTAATCTAACAGTATTTTTCAGTTGACTTCTGATGACTAGTTCATTCAGAGGTACATTTAGACTCTATGACTTTTGGTTAAAGGACAGTCCATTCTTCTAAAAAAATCAACATACAAGTTTATCACTTCTTTTGCAACATCACCATTTGTGTTTAATGATAAGCTACATGTTGCAAGAATTGCAACATCTCATTTGTGTGCCCTCTTGAGAAATCTCTATACAATCTGCCAAATACACTGTCTTGACTGTGTTTATCTTTTTTAACTGGAAGTCGACACCAGTGTGCTCTTTTTAGTCTTATTTCTCCATAATGCTTCAGATGCTGATTGCTTTCTTGTGATTCCAAAACTGGGTGGAAATAATCTTAAGTGGCTTAATTGACAAAACACCACATGTCATGGAGATATTCTAGTAAATCAGATGGGGAAAAGTGAGTGGAAAAGGCAAATAGTGCTGCTGACCAAGTCTGGTATTGTAGCAATTAGAATGGCTCAGAAAGAGCACAGAGCTAGATATTCAGCAAGAATTACTCATGATGTATTTAATTGGTGGGCTTTTTTAGGAATTGTTTTTCCGATCAAGAACTGATTTGATTGTAGCCTTTCTTTCCTTTCTCCATCATCAGGCTTCTCCTGACCAACGGTAGTTCTCAGCAAAATGAAGAGGCAGAAAGGCCATTTTAAAAGTTATTTTCTCTGTCAAATTTGTCTCTTTTATTAGCTATTAAGTTTTACACTTCCCAACGCAGTATCATGAAGATTTTTATGATGCTGGGGCTGCCGGAAACTGTAAGATGTTATCTATGGGGACATGAAGAAATGACTCTGAAAGAAATGAATTCTTGGGAGGGTTTAATTTGTCCAAAAAAACACCTTCATCTAATTTTTATTTATATTATTAAAGCACATTTTTTCTGATAAATGACCTAATGAAATGGGTGTTTGTGGCTTTAAGTGATTATTTCTCCTTCCCTCCCACTTTCTCTTTCTCTCTCTCCTTTCTCTCACTTTCTTTCTTTTTTGGCATATCTTTCACCTTAGCAATTTGTCATGTTTTGGTAGTTAGAACGTTGTAAATCTTTTTGGCAATTTGAGTATATGCATATGTGAAAATATGAAACGTGAATATTAGTCACCATGGTTGTTAGACAACAGTGATGCTCTGAACTCTCCTTAATACCTAAGATCATTAAAATGAATTCCTTCCAATCCAATGGCAACTTCAAACACTTGGAGCAATAATATCACCTCTTTCCATGTCTCCATGCAGCCTCTGTTAAGTACTTTACCACTTTTCTAGTTTTTGTTTCTAAGAGTTTAATCTATTTTTTTTTTTGGTTTGAACTCAGATCCTTGTGCTTACTAGGCTAGTACAATAGCCCTAAACCAGGCCCCCAACTCTCTTTTTTGTTTGTTTTTGTTGTTTTAGTTTGGATGCCACCTATAAGTAGATTGTAGAGTATTTATCCTTTTGTACTTGGCTTATTTTACCTAAAATAATGTTTTCGAGGTATTCATATTGTTGAGACTGACAGGATTCCCTTTCCTAAAGGTAATAATAGTATTCCATCACATGTACACAAATGTATGTGTATAATATAAACACATTTTTATTCATCTTTTTTTTTGTCAGTCATGGGGCTTGATCTCTGGGTCTGGGCACTGTCCCTCAGCTCTTCAGCTCAAGGCAAGCGTTCTACCACTTGAGCCACAGTGCCACTTCTGGTTTTCTGGTGATTAATTGGACATAATATCTCACAGACTTTCCTTCCTGGGCTGGTTCTGCACCATGATCCTCAGATCTCAGCCTGTGGAATAGCTCTATATTCATCTTTTGATAGAATTTAGGTTCAATTGTGTCTTTCATATCTTGGCTATTGAGTAATGTTGAGATGAATGTATCAGGAGAAATGCCTCTTTAACATGCCAATTTTAATTTATTTGGATATGTAGTAGAAGTGATATTGTTGGATAATATGCTGATTTGTATATGTGTGTATGTTGGTCTTGGGTCTTCAACTCAAGCCTGAGCACTGTCCCTGAGTTTCTTTTGCTCAAGGCTAGTGCTCTGCCATGTGAACCACAGCTCCTCTTTCAGTGTGTATGTGCGTGTGTATGATTTGATTAATTTGAGATAAAAGTCTAAGAAACTATCCTTCCTAGACTGGCTTTGAACCTTGATCCTCAGATCTCTGTCTCTTGAGTAGGTAGAATTACAGATCTGAGCCACCAACCCCTGGACATAAGCTAATTTTTAAAATAATTTGAGAAATTTCTAAACTACTTTCCATCATTACTGCACTAATTATATTCCCACCCACAGTGTATGAGAATTCCCTATTCTTCATCATGGGTATATATTCTTATACATTAATCTCAAGTTCATTAGTGATCTAAAACAGAAGATTTCTGTGTCAAAAAATTAGGTTCTGATTTTCACTTCAAATGTGAAGATTTCAAACAAGATGGTAACAAATAACCATAATAGATAACTCAATCAATTTCAGCTCTTCAGCTCAAGGCGAGAACTCTACCACTTGAGCCACAGCTCCACTTCTGGTTCTTTGGTGGTTAACTGGAGATAGAAGTCTCACAGACTTTTCTGTCCAGGCAGGCTTTGAACCATGATCCTTAGATCATGAGTAGCTAGGATTACAGTCATGAGCCACTGGTGCCCAACTGGATTCATTTATTATTAGCTTAAAAGACATTCAAGTTTGAAAAGGGCCCAGAACAAGAGATAATTTTGGAAAGAAGTAAGTTTAGAGATACCACTTGTTTTAGAGAAGTTCTTTAGAAGGCAGTGTTCAGCTGAGTATTGATATACCATGGTAAATTGTACTGACCAATAATAGTAATGTGAGCAAGAGAATCCAAGATGGTGGAGAGGACCAGCCTCACCTCTGGCTATTCCAAGTCACCATATTGGAACTGAGCTTGCCATCCCCTAGTTCTACTAGCACAGAGGTCCTGGTTCCCATCAGGAACTTTCCCCAAGAGCATAGCAAGGATTCCTTATGGAGTGATATTCTCTATTTCCTTAACTCCTAATGCTGATGAACCACTGTGATGAGTAAGAGAGTTACTATTTGGGTGAACATGATTAATCCTGATTATGTGTGTGGAGTTGTTACACCATATGGTGAAGAAGAAAGACATTTAGAATCCAGAAGAGTATTTTGATGCTTAATCTTGACAGCTATAATAGACCACAGTGATGGGACTGGAAGCTTTGACTTCCCTTGGAGGTTTATATGATCTCATCAGGAAAGAAACCTAGAGCAGGAT